TCTAGGCCCGAAACGTCAGCTTTCCTACTCCTCTGATGCTGCTTGGCTTGCTGTGTTCATCCAGCTCTACACCTTGTTATCTTAGAGAGAGGAGGGCTGGGGCTGGGGATGGTGATAGGTGAGTGCAGGTAGGAAGTGGTGGGGATTGGTCAGTGAGGTAGGAGGAACGGATAGGTGGGAGAGAAGATGGACAGGTTGTGTCAGGTCAAGGAGACTGGGATGAGAGGGAGGGTTGGTCATGGGATGAGGACGGGGGATAGGGAGAATTTGAAACTGGTAAATTTAGGCCATTGGGTTGTAGGATCCCAAAGTGGAATATGAGGTGCTGCTCCTCCAGTTTCCGGGTGGCGTCATTGTGACACTGGCGGAGGCCCAGGATGGACTGTCGCCCAGGGAGTGGGAGGGGGAGTGGGAGGGGGTGTTGAAGTGGTTCGCAGCTGGAAGGTGTTGTCATTTGTCGTGAACAGAACGCTTTTGATCTACAAAGTGGTCTTCAAGCCTCTCCTTGGCCTTACCGATGTAGCGGGAGCAGTGGATGCAATAGACCACATTAGCTGATGTGCAGGTGAACCTCTGTCTGATGTGAAAGGTTTGTTTGGGGCCTGGGATGGAGGTGAGGGAGTGGTATAGGGGCAGTGTAGCACTTCCTGTGATTGTAGGGAAAGGTGCCGGGGGTGGTGGGGCTAGTGGGGAGTGTGGATTGAACAAGGGAGTCACGGAGAGAGCAGTCCCTATGGAAGGCAATAGGGGCGGGGAGGGAAATATATCCTTGTTTGTGGGGTCAGATTGCAGGTGGCAGAAGTGACGGAGAATGATACGTCGAATACGGAGGTTAGTGGGGTGATATGTGAGGACAAGGGGGATTCTGTCTTTTTTTTTGTTGGGGGGAGGGGGTGTGAGGGTTGAGGTGCGGGAAACGTAAGAGATGTGGTCGAGAGCATTTCCAACTATCTAAAAAAGAAAGTTGCGGTCCTTGAAAGAAGAGGACATCTGGGATGTTCGGGAGTAGAACGCCTCAAATTGGAAGCAGATGCAGTTGAGGTGGAGGAATTGGGAATAGGGGATTGCATTCTTGCTGGAAGGTGGTGAGAGGAGCTGTAGTCCAGTGTGGGAGTCGGTGGGCTTGAAATGGATGTTGGTTTCGAGGCAGTCACCAGAGATGGAGACAGAGAGGTCCAGGAAGGAGAGGGAGGTATTGGAGATGGTCCAGGTGAACTTGAAGTTGAGGTGGAAGGTGTTGGTAAAGTTGATGAACTGTTCAAGCTCCTCGTGGGAGCACGAGGCGGCGCCGATACAGTCATCGATGTAACGGAGGAAGAGGTGGGGGATGGGGCCAGTGTAGCTGCGGAAGAGGGACTGTTCCACGTATCCTGCAAAGAGGCAGGCATAGCTTGGGCC